TTGTATCTACTTAAGGGGGACTATAGGTGCCATAATAGAATCTATAACCATAAGCGGCCCATAATTTTGAGAACAAGCCATACAACCCTAAACCCTAAACCCCAAACAGTAGCTTCCATTTTCCTTTCCACTATCCCTATATAACCCCTACCCCTGTACTATTACTGGGTGGGGGGTCCACCTAACCGTACAACCCCCAAAACCCTCACAACAGGCCAGTTGCAGGCAACTGATCCGCCGGCCCAGCTCCAGGGCTACGCCCACGGAGTCGCAGAGCGCATCTCCCAAAATGCCGCAATCCTTACGGGGGTTTTGGGTTCTAGGGTTTTTAAGGCTTTAGGGGTTTGAGGGTTTTGGGGTTTTAGGGGTTTTTAGGGTTTTTAGGGTTTTAGAGGTTTTTAGGGCTTTAGGGTTTTTAGGGTTAAGGGTTTTCAGGGCTTTAGGAGCTTAACAGTTTTAGGGTTTAGGGTTTTAGGGCTTTAGGATTTAGGGTTGAAGGTTTCGGGGTTCAGGGTACAGCTTCAATTTGAAAATCAGCTGTGGACAATTCAATTGAAACTGCACCCTAAACCCTAAACCCGAAACCAAAAACCGCCTTCTACTATAGAAATATGGAGCAGGGACTCGGGTTTAAGTCTTGGAGCCTGAGGTGTAGGGACTAGGGATTGGGGTTTAGGGTTTAAGGTTTAGGGTTTAGGGTGTCGGGATCTGGGGTCTGGAGTTGAGGGATTAAGCTTTGGGGTTTGAGGTTGGGCGAACGGAGGGATGGCCCCCATTGTGGTCCCTCTACCAGCCCCAAGTCCTAAACCCCAAACTCTGATTAGGGTTTAGGGCTTAGGGTTATTGAACCTTCCCTGTGAGCGATTTCGTTCGCATCAAGTCTGGTTTTCATCATGCGTGTGAGCATTCAAGCGTCAAGCGTTCTTTACATATATTGCTAAGCCTAAACACTTGCTGCTCAATTTGGATGAGCAAAAATGAAAAATCCAACCTCCTCATAATCACTCAAGCAAGGCTCCGTGGCGAAGACGACCTGAAGAGCCTCTTTGCTTGAGAGGAAGAGCTCGAAGAGACACCAAACTCCTTCCAAAAGACTGCCAAAAAACAAGCCAACCAAGATGTTAACCTTAAGCCCCACAACTCCTTCCAAGAGACTTACTGGGGGGGCATGCGGATATGTTATATGTGTAGGGGTTAGGGTTTAGGGTTAGTAGGGAATAAGGGGACATAATCCCTGTGTAATCCCTACATAGAGATTGTCCAGGCAAGGCAAACAAGACATTAACCCTGATCCGCCACAAGGCCAAAAGGGTCTTCCAAAAGATTGGCAACAGCAAGATGTCAAGGGTTGAGGGCCCAGGGCTTCTTCCAACAAATTTGACAAACATATAAACACCAAGATGTTAACCCTAAAGCCCATACCGGAGAACTTTCGGGGGTGTTGGGTTTACTTCCCCTAATGCAGGACTAGACGGGGAGAAGATGGACAACCAATATGGAAACTGGATTTATGTAGGTGTTTATGCTGCATTGTGAATGGAGCCTCCCCCGACAGATGCAGTCAGGGCACGTGTGAAGGGCTGGACCTGCTGGTCCAATACCATGACGACGCCCTGCACTCCGGATTGGAGGACCTTGACGAAGGTTTAGGGTTTCGGGTTTAGGGATGGGGCTTAGGAATTGGAGGACCTTGGCAAAGGCTTAGGGTTTAATTCAGGGCTGAGAATCCATCAAGGAAACCCGCAAACAAGGACTGCATACGACATCTTTCAGGCTTCCCTGAGACCCGAAGGGTCTCCAAATGTGTGAGCTTGTGTCTAAACTCCTGGTATCCCCCTTAAAAAGCCCTACAGTACTCCCCTGGATGATCGACCCCTTTTTGTAATTATATAACCCCCCTTTAAGGAGTTTAGACTGAATAGCTGATGCGGAGTAGAGAACCTTGGCAAAAGCGCTGTCAAGGACGTCGGTCCCGATCTCACTCGCGATGTCCCACTGGTTGTTGGCGAAGGAGCAAATCCAATAGGTTGGATTTACGGCGCCAGTGAAGGCTGCATGGCGCTGCAGGCACTGGACAAAATGCTGAAATGGAGTGGCCCAACTGTGGGACACAAAGTGAGATACAGCCTTCCCTTGCAGGAGGCCTACCAGGGAAGTCTGCTGTTTCTCGGTGAGTGGCTCCACGATGTTCGCCACGACGAAATGCATGGTTCTATCTAGAATGAAGCGCCTGAAATGCTCCCAGAAATACTGCAAAGCCAGTATTGAGAGTCCTTGGTTCTTTGGGTGGTCCTGGTCTTCTGTAGGAATTGTTGCTTGGCTGGGCGGGCTGAGTTCACTGAGGTATTCGCGGCATGCCTCCTGCAAGGGCGTCCGCTGCCGGCGCAGAAGCCCGGCCACTACCGGATGCAGGAAGCCAACACAGGCCATCAGCGGCAGCGCGAAGAGGAC